GGGGGGGGGGGGCAGAGGGTGAACACACACAGCAAGGTTACTTCAGTGAAAAGAACTGTGCGATGAAAAACCCGAGCATCACTCAAAAACATATTTTTTAAGATAGGCAACGATTACACAAAATGCAGGATCGACAAAATAGAAGTTGTCGACGCTTACAAAGATGCACTCTAAAGGTGACGTGTCATCAGCCATTTGTTGCATCGAACTTACTCGAGCGTCAGTGTGCGCATGGACCATAACTGCCATCCACCAAAACTGTAGCCAACGACCAGGGTTTGTGTATTCGGAATGAAGTGAAGCGTGGACACATAGACAGTATCTGAGGCGAATGAGAAAGGAGAACGAATCAACGGTCAACAAGTATCATAAAGAAACATGTCAAAGAACAGACATGCCGGTAGATATGAGGTGAAATAATGCAGCATTTGAGATGATAACAGCTTCAATCTCGTGTTCGAGGTAAGCCCGTGTAACTGACTTAAACCCATCAATCATGGAAATCCGTTTCAGACGAAACAGCATCATACATATGAGGACAGATAGCCGGTTCCGTTGAGTGTGTTCGATCAGACATTTTCTCCATCCACGGTTTATCTTATAAGGAGAAGTATAAGGTAGGTGGAAGGTGTAGGTAGCATCCAGTTCATTAAGGTCGTGTCAGGAGAGGAAGCTATTCGGAACAAAATACGTGATGTTTGGAAATAAGAGCCTAGCTTCTGTAGACTTTCTCAACACGTACATTCCCTAGTGTATTAACAAAATCGTCCTCAGAGTGAGGGAGCACCGATAGGATTTCATTCGTCAATAATTGGTAAAATTCTTAGCGTAAAAGTGACCGATGATTTAGGCTACGTTTGAAAGAATTTCGGTAATCCAAATGTAATTGCAAGATTGCTGTTTCATCATCCGTTTTCTACGATCAGAATGACTTTGATTAATGTAGCGGAAACTGTCAAAGCCTAACTTGTACAATATTCAAAAGAATCAGGGAGAATGATGTCGTCGAGACCGATTAGTTGACAAATAAGCTTTATATGACTGAATCGATATTCGACATGAAATTTACGGCAGCCAGAGAAACAGATTTGTTTACTAAACTAGCGCGCGATGAAAAGGAGCGATTGAAAACTAGCAAGGCAGTTGCCGTCAAGCCCTAATGCAAAGGCTCGATTACTATCAGTGCGGTGGCTGGGGCGTGCGTCACGCATGTCACCAGATGGGTTCCTTCGACCAACATCACTTGCTGCGGTAGGTAATGAATAGTGAAATTTCAAGCGTGGTAAGACTAGGGCCTGGCACTAGGACATCAAAACAGTGCCCAGGGGGACTTGGTCACATGATTTGGTTTGGGTTTCCTGGTTAGGGACCTCCGGAACATCCCATAGAGTACTTAAAGACAGCGAGTGATACTGCTGAGTGGCGCTGGCAGCAACACCTGTGCAGTTATTCACCTTTCATTCGTCCACGATGTGTCTGCATTGTGTCTCTATCTTGGCTACTTCACTGCTGGGTCAAATCGGTAACCGAAAGATACCAGCCAAAATCAGTGCACAGAACGACAAGAGTCATTATGAAGTAAATTCCAAAACTGAACAGGAAGTGTAGAAAAAGCCTTGCTAGTTTCGAACCCGGAACTCTCTGTTTGCCAACTTACGCGCAGGTAAATTGGTCAAGACTCGACCATTGACGGATTTGTACTGAAACTCATTCCACCGAACCGCAGAGGCTGAAAAACGAGTGAATAAAAACAGACAGTTTGTAATTAGGCGTGGAAGTAATCGTTTCGGAAACTATTAATCCCTTGTAAAAGCAGATTACTACGAAAAGAGGAAGCGTAGAAAGGACAAGTAATAACTGTGCAATAGTTACCGTGGGATTGATACCACGGCATGAAGATCAAAGTTCGAATGTAGTAAATTCAGCTACTGGGGCTATTGGTCATACACAGGAGAAACCTTGATTTGCAGGTTCAACGGCCGGCTGATTGTGAATGTCTGTTCTTCTCTTGTACCTCGTGAAATGATCTTTTACAATCAAGCGTTTAGAAAAAGTGTGGCAGAAGTGTTTTCTCATCAAAGTTACAGGAAGTCTGGGGGTATGCTTGGGTCAGTTAATTGCTAAAGAAGTCTAAAGAAGCGAATAAAACCCTTTGATCCCAAAACATCTAGAAAGAGGCGCAAGAACCGTGCCTACCCGACCTGCTTGGGTTTGGCACTAGTAATGGGTTTGATTCGACAACTTGTACGTTTGGTCCGGTTCAGACGATTTATGATCCGATAGACTGGTCTCCAATCCATTAACGTATTCTGGGCTAGGAGCGTCGTCCCACTGTCATACAGATCGAAATTTTAGTCGATGGCTTCGGCTGGTTAAGTCAAGGTGCTGGTCTGTGCAACCAGAAAGCAACATATTCGTACAGCCTGTGGATAGCCCCTTTTTGTTCTGGTACTTTGTAGCTTTCCATGTTAAAAGAATAATTAAGGAAGCGCATTTCTCATCCTCAAACGAGAATCGAAACTGCAATCAAAGCACCCTAAAAGCAAAAACGAAACCCAAAAGAAAATTACAGGGGAAAAAACGAAAGAGAACAGCAAGAATTGCTGGTTGGATTCCAGACACACGTAAGAGAACACAGTTGTCCATGACGCTTAATCGCATCAAATCACAGTTCACAGGAAATAAAACCTTTGGTCACCTAATTGATTCGGCAACTCATTCAAGATTTTTCGTTACTACGGGACAACTATATAAGTCTTACCATCCAAATACACCAAGGCAGTTTCTTCTGGCATTGTCGCTTCGTTTTCATCGGACTGTCCACGGGAAACCAGACGGAGGAACTGGGACTTCTCCACAGCCAATGCCCAAATTGGTTGGTGAAATCCCTCAGTAAAGGATGAATCCGAATGCCCGAGTGCAAACGGTGCTGCGAACAGAACCGAACGAAACCAGAGGCGGTTAGGTAGCAGAAGGGCGATAAATGGAAGCCCGATAAAAACTTAGTCGAGAGAGATAAATGTTTGCTCTAAGACGGGTTTTGATGCCCAAAAACAATCTGTATTGTCCTAAACGATCTTCTAAACAAAACTGCAAACATAATACAAGGTAGGCGATCAAACGGACCTCTCGTACTAAATGTAAGCGTGAATGATGATCCCTTAAGGTGGTCACATTATCTGGTCACTATATTTTTTGTCATTCTGCAGCTTCCAATCTGATATGTGAAATTCTGAGAGAATATTTTGAAATCCATGATTATAAAAAGAACAGAGCATTTAGATAATTTCCTCCGCAGCGGCGTATCATCCTTTGACCGTGGGTGGTTTTAATGATAAATAAAAGTACTACTCACTGACAATACCCACGATTCCTTGACGAAATCCAATGGCCAGCAAACTACAACATCCAGATGAAGAGCCGGTAGGGATGTGTTTCACTTTCTTCGTTATGTCACAGGTTGTGTGCATATCTGTTGCATCTAATAGCATTGTGGATGCTTCCGACGGTGTTGGAGATGCGGGTATGTGGTCTTCCATTGCACGCCATGGGATCCATTCGGAAGCACTGGCTAGGCCATGCAAACAAATACCTGTATGATAGGTTTTATTATCCACCGAGGGAAAGTAGCAAAGATAGGTACAATTCTGTGCTCGGTTGGTCAAAATGACCAACAGAGACTCCTGGGATGCGGTTCGATGAGTGGATTGTGACAAGGATGAAATGGGGCCGAATTTCACCGATTCTATCAGCCATGAATCGACAGAACCTTCACCTTTTGTGGCCGCTTCCTTATGTTGTTGTTCAACTGCAGCTGGAAAGTCACCGGTAACAGACCAAGAAAATATCTTGGACCACCCATCTGATTCACGATAGCATTGCACACGGTGTGAATCAAACAGACAGGCTACACTAGCTGAATTGTTGAAAATAAGACGCTGTGCGGAATCGCATCGTGAAACTGAACCACAGAATGAGCCCAGTTGTTCCACTTGAATTGGTTGCATTTGGAAGCTGGAACAATTGAAATGGGTAGGTTTTATTAACGTTTTATAAACGTATCAGCAAAGCTACGGAATCAACAAAATGAAGTTCCATCGAAAATCACATGCGTGAAAATGAACCTTTATGGTCAGTAAACAGAGTTTACAACCTAAATTACGCATAGACACTTTTTCAAGCACTCTGACGCGATAAGATATGAAAAAACACCGCTTCTGTCTGCTCCCTGCCGTACTCATAACGTATACAAGGTAAGCGAGAATGTGTAAGGAGGATAGGGATTGGACTTGCTTTTCAGGACAGGAAAAGAAAGCGCACCGCTATGGTCTAAACACAGAGTACACAACCTAAGCGTGCATACATAATAGTTCAAGCATTCTGATCTGAAAATAAGATCGCCATTGCTGTCGGTTCGCAGCCATGACCTTCACTATCTCCAACCATCCAGTAGTGGGGTCTTTTGGACCCCAACCGAGAAAACGAGAGACACCTTCTCTACCTACTCGCTCCGTACATTTCTTCACGCCTCGTCTCCACGTCATCTGCTAGCCTCCACGTGGCAACAGTCACTGCGAATAAGACGCGCTGCGGTAGTCGACCGTCGTATATACGCAACACGTGTCCTAACCAACGGAGTCTATTGAACTGAATTCAATGCGATAGCTAGTTCGTTTTCGGTGAATTCCCAAACACCTGACAACGTCTAAGTTACTAACCCGCTCACTTCATCCCATTTAAGCTAGACTATGTAGGTATTGATTGTTGAACACTGCTAAACGACGAATGTCTTTCTACCCGCAAATTGAAGGTCTCACAGCCGTAAAGCAGAACTGATCGTACAGTGGCGCAGTATGCATCACTTTTCAACTTCAATGAAACGTCAGGCGGCCATCACCGGTGTTTAATTCCTGCCTACGCTGATCGAGCCTTGGAAATGCGGGCGGTGCCACAGTATTTGGGCAAGCAGCTACCTAAGTACGAGAAGCAGTCAATCTCAGATAATTCCTGACCATTTAGTTTCAGAACAGAACTCGACGACACCCAGTCTTGCAGCATCACTTTGCACTTTGAAGATGCAAAGCACACGCCGAACGGAGCGATAGAACTTCCTAGCTTGTCAAGTGCTTTTTGTGCATCCTCCACACATTTGAACAAGTAAACGATGTCGTCAGCGTAGCCTAAATCACACACCTTTTCTCCAGCTGTCCATTCAATACCAACATTCAGGAGACCACTTAATGTGTTCTCCAGTATTTCGTCTATCAGTTCAGTTCAGTTGTTACAACCATTAACGATGCACTTTCGTGCGCCGGTTTTGGTTGCTGTCTTTTGGT